AAGAGGGAGGAACCAATAAAGAGGCAGGTTGGATGCGGCGCAACCCGCATAATATGACTTTGGAGCTAATTATTAATGCATTGCTCTAGGAGTAGGACGAGCACGCGGTTGATGGGTCCCTTATTCCCTATGGGTTTTTGGTCATAGGCGCCCTAGAAAGACCGCCAATGCTTTTGACAACTATAGTTTAGTTTACTACTACTTGAAGTTTGGGTTGACTTCAAGGGCGACCCAATCAACACTTGTTCCTCCCACTTTCTAGGACACATCAGCCACACTCCTTTTAATCTATTATATGCGGTTTTTTTTCCTTCTTTTTCTTTGGGAAAATGCTACGGTACTGATTGCCCTAATGCATTTGTGGTCCATCACATGTGAATCTAACGGTCAAAACTTAATTAAGGTCACCATTAGATATATGAGTCATCCACACCAGATCTCTTATTCAAAAGGAAAGAAAAACTGCAAATTCAATGAATCTATATCCTCGTTACTGAAAAAAGGTCGCCAGTGATCCCTAAGATCTGAAACGTTAAGATCACGGGAAGGGTGGTGGAGGTCACCCATCGCGACCACGGCCGTAATCTCGTCGCGACGGTGACCTGTCAAGAATCAGGTCGTGATCCTACCGCGACCAGTCACGAACCATGTCGCGAACCCGTTGCAAAGGCGACCTGTTGCGACACGATCTTGATCCAGGTCGAGATCCAACCACGATTTCGTCGCAATGGCCAACCATGTCGTGATCTTGCTGTGATTCATCGCGACGAAGATCCCGTTGTTGTCGCGATCCTGACAAGCTGTGAGGCTGATTCTGGCAGCAATGTGACGGAGCTGTGGGGCAAATTTTTTTTTGGGTACTTTTTTTTCATTTTTTATTAAATATTAGGTCATAATAGTGGTTAGCAAATGTGATTATGTCTATTTTTATCTTTATGAGAATGTGAACTGGGACTGGTAATTTTTATCGGATTGTCTAAAAACATTTCGTTATGGATACCTAAAATATGGGTTCCGGTACTATAGTCATGCCAAATTTTCTTTTTTTATTTTTGTAAAAAAGATTTCTCTTCTAATGATTTTTTTTCTGTATGATTTTGCTAAAATTAAAAGAATAGGAATTGAATTGTTATTTGGGAACCGGTACTATCTCTGTTGTTGGAGTGGTCAGTTTGTCCCGCCGATCACTATTCCAAGAGCATGTGCCGATTAGCTGCCCTCTCTTCGCCAACTCTATCCTCCCAACAGGTCAGGACACCTCAAGCCCTGTTCGGACCACGTCCAGGTACCATTTCATGTCATTATAGCTCAGTGCAAGCCTTACATGGTTGAACACCAAAGAGCACACAAATTCCATAACACCGTGTGCGCTCCAGCCAATTGGGCATCTCTCCACCGTTGAATGAAGGCGGTCCGAGAACCATCGATTGATGACACTTGTTCTATTGTCTGACATGTCCGTACAGCCGTACACTTAGACCCTGACGGCTCATGGGTCCTACCCGAACAGTAAACTATAAATAACCCTATAGTCATTTATTGAGATAAATACAATTTCTCCGCCTAATTCTTACTACTCTATTTATTGATCCCGATCGACATGACTAATTTAAGCGTTAAGAGTGTCTTTGATAAGCACCATACTAGTGTCCTCTTACTCCGAATCCTTCTCTTGTCATCCAATGCAGGACATGTACATCCGAACCCAAGCAAAGATTGGAGCACGGCTGAAAAGAGGCGGAGAACAAAATTCAATCACTGTACGTATCCGCATGTGGATGTCGAGTCATATCAGACATCAACACTCTCAATAACTCTTAAAATTAAACAAATATATCAAGTCTGATTTTTGTATGTGTGTCGCAAGCAGCCTAGTTGCGGACAATTTTTGTTCCAACATAATATTACAAAGCATCTGTTTACCACGAATGCTACATCCAAATTCCAAAGCTTTACCCTCGAACCTCTCATATTTATTAAACTAATGGTTGGCGGTAGTTTTGAGTTGTGCTCTGTCATTGCACCACTCAAATTTTGTATGGGTCAAATTGTGGACAGCCGGATATTATTATTGAGGATCGGAATTTGGGTATGAACATCCAGCAATTGATGTATATTGGTTTATTCTTGTCAGCATATTGACTATTTATTTGTTTTTCTCTTTCACATAGACATTTTTCTGCTTTCACCATGTTATGCCGTTATAATTCAAGGGAAAGAAATTTGCTTGGTTCTTCATTTAAGATTTTCTCTCTACGTTACTTTGTAAGCTTAATTTGATTATTCAAACTGGATCGCATGATGTTCACTATCATAGGACAATACCAGGAAGAAAAATAATTAAGAATCTTCAATAGGAGCCTCAAGTTGACAAGAATGGGTCCGGATTTACTCACAATCAGTCAAGTGGCCCATAATAAAGAAGAGGGGCTACTCCCATCACCAAAACTTTGACCATTTAAAAATCTCAAAATTAATAGCGTCTTTGTTAGCTTAGAACTGGTCCAAACTTATAGTGTAGGAAGCATAAGAAATGGTACGATGAATACACCAAAACGTAAAAATCAAACAAAATTTTAAAAAATGGTAGTTGGGAAAAAGTATTTAAAAAAAAAAAAGAAAAAAGAAGATCGTCCCTTTCAAGCTAGTGTGTGATAAGTGGTGATGAGCAAATATTGGCCAATCATATCTTAGTGCACGTTGAACCACTAGAAAAAGATTGAGAAGACCCTTGAAGTTGGATGTTTTAGCCCCATTCATTTTATTAATTTAAATTTTAAATTTTAAATTTTTATTATTAAAAATTTTAAAAAATATCACATTTAATTTTTTTTTATTACAATTAAAAACTTTAAAAGATGTTACTTCCTAACTCAAATTTAAGCATGGATGGCATGGCAAGGCTGAAACTAAATCATATTCATGTCAAGTACAGGAGCGAGACATTTTAATTGGGACAGAAAAGACAAAAGTTGGCACTCACAAAGAGGAGAGTTGGAAACATTACGCAGTAAAAGGAAAGAGAAAAATAACGTCGCCTGAGAGATTCGAACTCTCGCGGGGAAACCCCATGTACTTAGCAGGCACACGCCTTAACCACTCGGCCAAAGCGACTATTTTGCAAGTGAGCAAAATATTATTTATATATAATTTTAAATAATACTAGCAAATAACCATTTTAAATATTTATTGTACAAAATGTCCGTATTTTACATATTTGTCCTGAACTTGTATGACTTTAGCAATTTATTTCTTGAGCTTTTAATTTTCACAATATGTCCTATTTTGACGATTATTGTGTTAAATTAGTGTTGAAAAAACACATTCGACAAAAAAATTATAACATTCCAATTCAAATGAAAACATAAATATTTTAATTACTCAACTTTTAATTTCTTAAATCTAATAAAATTTGATCAAATTTAATAAAATCTGACATATTATAATAATTTTACAAGTTAGGGGATTGATTATCAAAATTGAAAGCTTTGGGAAAAATTTACTAAACCATGACAAATTAAAAGGAGAATTGCGCTAAAAACTCTTTATTTATTTATTTTTTTTATCGGCAAATAGGCTATTTATTATTCTTGGGGAAAAATTGCCAAAAAGATAAACTCGTGGGTACCGTTACCTGACCAAGAGTAAAATTACCAAAAGTAAAATTACTAGGTTTTTGCATTATTATACAATTTTTCTTTTTTGGGAAGTCCGATTTTCCCATTCATAAGCTTATCGGACATCTCTAGACGTAGTCTCAAATCACTGACAGAATAAGATCTTCCATGCATGATTGTTGAGAGTCACAAATATCTTTTTTTTTTTTTTTGGCATTTTTTATGGTGCGGTAGGCTAAAATAGGCACCGGTGGAGCAAATAAAATGTCATTTGACTTTGTGATCTAACGATGAGAGATGAAAGTCTACCCTTATTATAATGCTCCAACTTTCACATTAGTTTTTTTTTTCAGGAAAATCAATGTTTTAACTTAAAAAAATTAAAATAAAATAAAACACACACACACACAAATAAAAAAATCTACTGCAAACCCAATATACAAGTGCGATTTTATATCATACAAGGGGTTCAAAGGTTATTTTTTGTTTGTGTTTCTTTTTTTTTTTTTTTTTTTTCTGTAAGTCTCATTTGGAATTCAGTTCCATGGATCATTATCATTACAGTCAATCTTTATGGTTGATTCCATGGAAGAAGAGATGGGTTTCTGGGTGTTTAGAACTTGGGAGTCTTTTTTTCTATTGATTTTCAATTTTTAAAGTTGAACTATTGTTCATATATAAAATAATAGGTGGGGTTCACAAAATCAAATGCCACGCACTTTCATGAAAGTAGCCTGCTCAGGTTAAAAGCTTTATTGTTGTTGGTGCGTGCGATATAATGCCTCAATAAAAATAAACAGCACTCAAACATCACGTCGATTGCCCCCATTAAATTAGAGTCGAACGACTTGTAAAACCTGCTCCACCGGTGCACTATTTTAGGGGACGTAATGCAGCGTGTATGACTGCTGATGAAGACCAACCGATTAACCGGTTGGACACGTCTGGTTAACCGAACGATGGAGCCAAATGTTCAAAGATTGGCAACCAAGCAGCAGATTTACTTTCTAATTTATGAATCATTTCTGTTTTATTATTTCCTTTTCCTTTTAGGTTATTTTTGTAATTTAGGATAAGTTAGTTTCCTTTTTCTTGCTTTCAAAATTAGTTTGGGATTGTTTCCTTTAGCATGTTTTCGATTACCTATTTTAGTGAGGACTTGTAGGATTGTTATTGATAGTTTAGTTAAGTTATTAATAAAGTTATGAGTTTATTCTCAATTTCTAAATTATCTTAATATTCTGTTGAACTAATGAGTGATTAATGTTTATTTTCTTAACATTCGTGAGCGAATTAATAAGTTTATAAAAATCTATTTTCTAATATTTCAATTAAATCAATGAATTTTCTAATATTCTCAGTAAATCAACGGATCTTAAAAGTTTATTTCTTTTTCTTATTTTTCTCACACTTCCGCTACATCAGGATGCACAATAAAGAAACCTTTCATCATCATCATCATCACTATTATTATTATTAGCAGCAGCAGCGTCAAGGCTTTTATTATCTGACCTGGCGAGCAACAAGCATCAGATAAACGACATTACACATCATCATTACTATTATTATCATTAGCAGTAGCAGCGGCAAGGCTTTTATTATCTGACCTGGCGAGCAACAAGCATCAGATAAACGACATTACACAACTATGAACTTATAAACAATAAGTAACCAATCGGAAAACGAAAAAACGACAATAAAATAGACAAGAACAAAGTGGCAAGACCTAGGCCGTATAGATGACAACTAAAGAAAAAAGATGAAACGACAATAAGGGAAGTAGAGAACAACAGAGTTTAAAACGACAATAAAAGTTAAAAAACATGATGGACCTTAAGAAATGAATGATAAAACAACAATAGAATTTAAACGACAACGAAGTATCAAGAGCCAAAGACCTCTCATTAAAGACGACTAAAGAAAATAATACAACAACAACAATTATAAAATGACGATAAATAGTTTAACGACAATACAGTACAAACGACAATAAATTAAGGACAAATTACACTTTTCCCCCTGAATTATAGGACTTATAACAAAATGCTCCTTAAATTTTAAAAATAATAATTTTCCCTCTGAACAATTAGCCGTTGGCGCGCGTCCTCCTTTTCCGCCCCCTCAGTTAAATTTTGAACGTTAAGTGTCATGTGAAAGTCGCTGAGGCATTTAATTTTTATTCTATTATGAAATGACGATTTTACCCATATACTCATCCCCTTCTCAGGTTTCCTTTTATTTCGTGGCCATTTTTGAATTTTGTCCTAATTCCCATTTCTCATCCCCTTCTCAACCCTATCTGATTTTGCCTAAATTTGATGGGAATAGTCGCAGCCTTGGGTTACTCCACCTTGCCTGAGTTCATGAATGGCGGCCAACAGTAGTAGCAGAGGTAGGAAGGGTTCACACAGTTCTGCAAGTATTGGGCTCAAATGTGGACGATGGGAAGGATAAATTAATGAGGTTGAGACTAGAGTGCAGCCAAGATGTTACTGTAAGTTGGAAGGAGAAATTAAGGCCTTCAATTTGAATGGGGAGATCGAAAACGATGAGAGGATTTTGGGTGTGTGGAAATGGGTTTGAAGATGGGAGGTTGGGTGTCTCAATTTCTCGAATTTTTTTGCCCTTTTTTGCCCTATTTCGAAGATGGATGATTTTATCCTATTTCTAACTTGACACAATAAATTACTTATTTGCCCTTAAAATGAGAGTCACATGTCATTAACGTGATACTTAACGTTTAAAATTTAACTTAGGAGGCCGAAAAATGAGACGCGTGCTAACGGCTAATTGTTCAGGAGAAAATTTATTATTTTTAAAATTTAAGGGGCACTTTATTATAAGGCCAATAGTTTAGTTGGGAAAAGTGTAATTCGTGCACAAATTAATAAAGACAACCAAATAAAGGACGCAATAAAAGTTAAAACGAGAACGAACTAGAAACAATAGCGAGCTTCTAAACGACAAATAGAAGAAAAAACCACGAAACAATAATAATAAGAAAACGACAACTCGATTTTTAAAAAAAAATTGAAACGATAACAAAGCGAAACAAGACAAACCTTAAATAAAGGGAAACCAAATAATAATAATAAAGTAATGCTAGAATCTTAAACTTAAATCTCAAAGTAGATGGTTGTGAATATTATCTTTCGTCTTTTGACACGTAAATGCATTCTTTCATGTCAAATACTATGACTATTGTTTACCACTAAATAATAATAACAAAGAAACGAGAGTATGGACGAAGCGTTAATAAAAGACAAAACGACAGCAGAAGGGAAAACACGAAAATAAGGTTAGAAACCAATGAGTAGAAAACGACTATTAACTCAATAAACGAAAATGAAATCAAAGATGAAATACGACAAAGTGATTAGAAATGACGGCTAAATTAGAAACGAGGAAAAAGGAACACGACAATAAAGGAGTGAACGACAATCACCTTTAGGATTAACGGTTAAAGTAAGACCATACCAAACCTTTTTCTTTTTCAAAAATAATTCATAGGTTAACCCCCCGGTTTAAATAATCTCAGAAAGTAGATTTAGGATTCTTATGGTAGATCCATCCACGAAAATAGTTTCATTTTAGTCCTAAAGACACTTTTAACGGGGAAAAGAAAAATCCCAGGAGAAAGAATATTTCATGGAAACGAAAAGGAAACCCCATAAAGAATTACAAATTATTCAAACTCCATTGCCAAATTGAAAAAAAGAAAAACACATTGTCCATCAATTTGAATTTACAAAATTAATTTTCCTCACATTAACCCCCCAGCATAAGGCACACCCGTCCGCGGCAGCCAATTATCCCCCGACAAGAACGTTGACACCGTGAAGTTCGCCGCCTCCGTCGCGCCGATCACATGATAACCCGACCACTTGACCCGATTCGTCGTGTTCGACCCGGGACCCCAATTCGCATACTCGGCGTAGTACGAAGTGTTCAACGCAAAATCACCGCTCCACTCGTGCCAACCCGCCGGGTCAATGAAACCGTCGAGGAAAGACTGCATGTAAACCGTCCGAGAATATTCTTTCCAAGGCCTGCCAAGGTAGGTCTTGGTGGTGCCGTTGCTGGCGGCGAGGTCGCCGGCGGGTCGAACGGTGCAGTTTTGGATGGAAGTGCCGGTGTTCTGGCTGGGGTCGATCCGGCCTTGGGCGGTGATGGCGTTGAACTGGCCCTTGTTAGGGAGCCGGGGGTAGAGGTTGCAGTTTTGGAGGACGACAGCGGCGTTGCCGAAGATAAAGTCCACGGTGCCGTAGACGTCGCATTCACGATAGAACTGCCGTTGGGAATGAGTGTAGAGGGTGTCTTGGTAGGCCTCGAAACTGCACCTGTAGAAGGTCGAGAGGTCGGCACCGCTCCGCAGCGCTACCGCCTGACTTTTGCTTGGCCCCGCGGTGTTGCGCACCGTTATGTCCACCGCAAGGAAGCCTGGCCCCGTCACGACTGCAGAAAAAAAAATGTAATGTTAATATATTACTGCATGTGTCAGATGCATATTACAACGTTGCAAATATAAAAGTTAATTTTTATTTTATCTATTTAAGTTTTTATGATTAAAAATTTTTAAAAAATATTAAATTTAATTTTTTTTGTTACAATTAAAATTTTTAAAAATATCACATCTCAACCCGAATCAAAAACTCAAAATTGCGAAGTGAATGAGACAATAGATTATAATTGATAAGTGATTACTTTTGATTGTATTTTTTTTTTCGGGGACTTGGAAATTAAGGCATGCAAGTGAATTGGCATTAATCGGAGCAAGTGTCACATTCTATAGTGAAATAATATAATATCATATATTTAATTGAGTTCTTTATTAAATTTTTGTCAACTAAGGCCTAAGAATGCTAAATCAAATATCAATCAACTGAAGCAAATATTGATCGGATATATCACACATGAAATTTATGTTGAGTAAAGGTTAATATACATGAACACGATGTTAATAGTACTAAAAGTTACTTCTTTATATACACACACATATATTGTATTATTTTAAAGGTTAAATTAGGCAGGTTTTTCTTTTTGGCTGAAGACATTAGTAGTTTGTTAGTCAGTTAAGCACATGTTATCTGTGATATATAACTAATTGAAACTCAACTATATATATACCAATTAAACAATTGGAAAAAAAAATCATAAACAAATCCTTTTGAGTCAAAAAATAAATTGGTATAAGTAGGGTTACTCATAGATTTGTAAGACCTAATTTTATACAATAAGTCTTACAAGAATTAACAAATAGCTATTCAGTTTCAATTAGACTTTTTTAAAGTTTACTTTGGCAAGAAAAAATTACGTATTTAATTGGTGAACTAATATGACTGGCCTTTAGAAAAATAAGGCAGAATCTGTTGAGCAGAGAATGCGTGACTATCACGCCTACGATATCTTAAGGTTAAAAAAGAAGATTTTCTTTATTTAAAAAATCTGAAAAAAAAAAGGGTTGTAGAGAAGCGTATATTACTCAGAGTTGCAGAATTGAAAGTAGTCCATCCATCTCCAACACTGTGACTCCCGGTGATGATGGTCTGATTAATCCCGTCTCCAAGCAAGAACAAGTACTTCTTATTACTCGCAATATTAACATACTCTTCATAGACACCGGCGGTGACATATATCAAGAAGTATCCGCCGGAGGAGGCGGAGTTGTTCGGCGCCGCCGCAATCGCATCATTGATAGAAGTATAGTTCCACAATCCATCCTTACTCACAATCACAATATCCTTAATCACAACCTCCTCGTCTCCCACCTGAAGAAGCTTCCGACCGCGTGGGTGGTGGCTCCTCGCCCGGTCATAAACCGCCCGGGCCCGGTCGGACATCTTCATCGGCAGCCGTCCCTTTGAGGACACCCGATGACTCCTCGACCTTCGTGATTCTCCGTCTCTCTGCTTCGGGACCCACCCCTCGGTGCAAAGAGCCAGAGTGATACTGTGCAGTTTTGAATCATCAGATAGTGTCTGTGACACGTCGTTTTTTACCGAAGGCGACGCCTCCAGACCGTCGGAGCAGGTCTGGAGGTTGGTCATGACGGTGCTGAGGTGGGTTTGCAGGTCGTCGGCTTCCAAGCTCGGAAGGAGTTTACTAGTGTTGTTTAGGGGTCCGACCGAATTCCCTAGCAAGTCGATGTTGCCGGAGAGAAGTTCCCGGCAATCATGGAGAGCTCGGATTGTGGGCTGTGATAAGGAGACAGAGTTACGTTGGAGATAAGAGTTGATGAAGTTTAGGAATTTTTGGGACTGAGAAAGCGACTTTCGGAGCGATAATCGCCCATAATCGTGGATACCGGCGTCGTTGTTGGGGAGAACTGATGAGCAGTAAGAAGGAAATCTTGTGGACTTGCAAACGTTGTTTCTGGAGATTGCTTGTGCATGAGGTGGAGAGGTCAAGAGAATGAGAAATGTGATGTTGAGGAAATAGAACATAAAGGGGTTGGATTGTTTGGCCATGTTTTGATAAGGACAATTATTTGAGATATAATGTTGTTGCTTGGTGAATAATTGAAGATTTGGATGATTTGAGTTTAGTATATATAGGAAGAAAACGTGCATGAGTTTTGATTATTAAATAGGGCAATTTGTGTTTTTGATCTTAGTGGTCCTCATGAACAAAGTAGGAGCCAAGTATGTGATAATATTTGTTTTTTCATTATGATGGTGGTGGGTTGTGGCTTCCCATTTGTCAACGTTAAAGAACTGACCAGGAAACTCTTATAGCTTGCTTAGTGGATAATATTGTCAATTAAACCTTAACCCTTGTTTGATTGGATCCAGTTAGGCAAAAGCACAAAAAGAAATTAAAAGAAAAAAAATTAAAACTATATATAGGAACATTTATGAAGTTTGAGGTTGATTTTAACTGTACACCTTAAAAAAAATCAAGTGTACAAATACCATTAAGTTTGCAACCACTCCGAAATTACTATATAGTTAGGAATTTGAAGAAAACAAAAGAAATTGGGGGGGGAGCTATTATTTTGCGAGTCTAAAATGATATTTGATCAAATTCTACGCCTTAAAAAGAACTAAACAATATTTTTATGTCCCATGAGGCACTTAATTAAATAAACATTATTTTAAGGTCACATGAGACATTTGATATATTAAAGGAACTTTTCTGTCACAATTTGCTTTAAGTTTTCATAAGGTTTAAGGCTTTTAGGACGGTAATATGAATATAGTTGAATTTAATAAATGAGAATAATGTTAAGCAGGACCTATGAATCTCATGCATGAAAGATGTTTAAGAATAACTAATGATAATAGCTAGCTAACTATCTTTCTAGCAAAAAAGAACTACATATAGCTAACTATCTATATTAACTTATATAGAGGAGGGATGAGTACTTTTGTACTTCAATCTTTGATTGAAACTTGGTATAAATGTCTCGTACCAATAACTTATTGATTAGCATTTACTCTCTTTCCACTTATTTTCTAAAATTTTCTCATTAATATATTATTTTCTCTAATTTTCTATTCATTATAATTCTTTAGAAAAAAAACATTCTCTTTCATTTTTTCAAAAAAAAAAAAAACTAAAGAACAAAATGCCGTAGGCACAACACCATACTAGTTTTAATAGAAAAAAAAACTCACACATATATTATGTGAGTCTTCAACATTATATGCAAGAGACATTTCAGAGTTAATAACAAATTGATAAAAAATTGTTAATGTTGGCGATACATTAATAGTACTTTCATGAATATATAAACTCGTCATAAAATGAAAGAAGGGAAATATATATTGTATATTTGTATATATTTGTCTCCTCTTAAGTTTGGTAATACTCCCCTAGCTAACACATAGTATTTAGGGATAAAAAGAAAATCCTGAAATCTCATGTGAATGGAGTACCATTTTGTTTGTTTGTTTTTCCTCTTTCATATTATAGTCTTTTCATCTACGTTAAACATGGCAAAGCGTGTGTGTGAGAAGTCTTTCGTTGAATGATTCTCAACTACTAGATCTGTCGTTTTATTTAATTTTTTTATAACCAGCTGAAAATTAAAGTTAGATCTTGAAAATGAAGGAAGAGTCGGAGAGTAGAACAATATCTGAAGCTTTGACGTTGAAAATTAGCTTCTCCTTTTTTAAGCGTATATATCCGACTTACGTACAAAGTCAACTAAGCAGCTAGACATGTTAATTAAACTAATATGTTATAGGGAAGGGCAATAATATTAAGGGAATTATAGTTAGGTAGATGTTTGGGCAACAGCGAACACCGTCACGAGAATAAATTTGTCTGAATAATTACATGCATGAGTCCTAAATGGAAATACGCCCTAAACTTTGACTTACAAAATTTGTTAGACAAACTGTTTTGTTTTTTTAACCCTGAAAGGACGATATTATAAGTTGATACATTAACCTAGAAAACCAAGAACATTTTGTCGCCATTAAATATTTTCGTGAAGAATTATTGAAAGATTGTCGTCGTCAAAATTTTCTGCTTGTTGGTGAAATATTGTTCATCAATCAAAATCAAATTAAGAGCCAAAGTTTCAACGTTTTGAAAAAAAAAAATGATGTGAAGGTAGTATATATTCTATTCATTCAGATACATGAACATTAAATTGCCTTTAAGAACTTGACATTTCCAGGAAAGAGTATAAAAATAGAACTCGTCTAGCTAGCACATGGAATTAAATATTCAAATTAAGGCATCTAGGAAATATTCATATATATCGTGAGTAATTATTCAATCGCATTTGTTGAGTCAAAAGACTCTGCTCAAGGTTTGGGACGCCACCACACAAATATATACGCTCCGAGGACATATATGATTTTTGGAATATGCATGTTTTTGAAATGTAGTATTCTTCTAGATTAAGTTGGTTTTTTTTTTTTTTTTTTTTTTTTGAGAAAAAAGGTTATAAAAAGAGTGACATGAGTGGTATTAAAAAGGCAAAACAATGGTTTATGATACGTTTTGTTTTTATATAGGATAGTAAAGATGACATGAAGCAACAAATATTCCGGTAGCAGTAACTTTTAGGTACCCAAGTTTAGGTGGAGGATTCTTTATTTTTTGTGATCAAATTGTTCCGCTATCAAAATTTGATAACGAAATAACCTGTCTGGATCCATTTTTCAAGACCAAATCGCTTAATTTTAGCTATCAAAAGTTGGTAACGGAAATTTTTGCTGCTAAAGTTGTTTTGTGATAACAAAAACTTTCCTCGGCCGTATTTCGGCAACGGAAATTTTTAGTAAGGAAAATCTTCTACTACAAAAATTAAGGTTTTTTGCTACCAATTCTTTGGCTGTCAAAAATTGAAATTCTTGTAGGGCTAGCATTTTTTTATCTTTTATTTATTTCCTGATACTGACTATACCCAATATTATATATTTACAAGTTGGGTTTAGTTATTTTGAGAAGTGTTGGAAGAATAATATTGCTAGCTATTAGCTAGTTGCAACTAGTCATTATTTTAAATTTAACGTGCATATGCTGTAAGAACTAAGAAGGATGAAGTTTCATCAAGCGACTTAGTACGTATTCAACCAAAAAAAAAAAAACGAAAAAAAAAGCTAGTCATTTATTAGAAAGACATATATATATATATATATATATGTATGTATGTATGTATATCTGTATTCTATGCCTGAATACAGCAGTTAAAGCTTGTCTTTGACATTGATATTTTAGTCATTCTAAGAAGATTGAAACAATTATATTGATGAGAAAAGATGGGCCTAGTAAATTATGCTTTCTAAATTTACATGAGGAGGTATATATGTAGGCTTGTAAATCCTAATCGATCGTGAATAAAATACATTCATTTGAAGAAGTATAATTGCCTCGAAATTATTTCAGCGTGTAAAATAGCGTGTGCGTGTGTGTACATCAATTACAACTTTTTTTTTGGGTAGAATAAATATTTATCAATTTATATCAAGTTTGTGAATGGTGAACGCAGTATATTTGCCCTAAAAATAAATAAATAAGATACGTCCAATGTCCATATATTTAAAGAGAACAATAAAAAAAAGGTTTTGAGAAATATATAGATCAGCTTTAGTCACAGTAAGTACTAATTGTGAGGTCAGTAGTCCTTGTTATTACATAATTTCTTTCAAACGAATAGTTTTCACAGTCGCTTATATATGATCACAACATATAATGACGACGTATGTACATACGTAGTAGCATTATATAACTTGAATTAATATGAAACAACTGGCGACACCCTGCAAAATATATACATATATTTAATATGTACGTATGTATATATATATATATATATATATATATATATGAACCAGCCGTAGTTAGTATTGATCAAATAACGCGTGAATAATGCTTCTCTAGAGTCTAGAACAACAATTAATTAGTTAAATGCGCAATAGAATGTTAGTTTAATTTATCGGAATATATTAATATATCACTATCTTAATCACTATACGTACGTTTCGTCAACACATATACACACTCTCAAAGCATCTAATTTCTCTTTGCTTCATTTGTATTTTAACAAATCAAACAAAGTTGGGTTTTTGGAAAGTCAGAGAGAGGTTAGCTAGTTAATTGCATGCAACACTTGGATATATCAATAAAGTTGTGACGACACGAAGGATATTATAAGTCTTTAACTGTTAATATATTAATATATTACTAGTTAATTGCATGCAACACTTAATATATTTCCAGTTGTTTTGAACCAAATAGACAAGTCACGTCATTCAAATATTAGAATGACTAACAAAGTTACTATTGATGTGTTCGGATATGATTAATTAAATTATATGCATGTTGATCAATATTGCAAAACGGGATTAAAAAAGTTGAGTGATATGCTTGATTAGTCAAATCTAGCTAGCTATTTAGGAAGTTTTGTCTTTCTACTATTGAATTTATAACTATATATATATATATATATTACAAATTTGAACAAGTCCAATCAAATATAATATTAAGTTAATTAGTCTCCTGATGCACAACTGCAGATTAAGGAGCAAGTTGTTCAAAGGGTGTTTTGACTTTGTAATAGATAAGAGAGTACTTATCATCACAGGCTGAGTACCAACTAATTAATAGCTTTCCTATATATGTCATGTTAATTATTTGAATTTGAAAACACTGCAAATATATATATTTATATATATATATAAGGTGATATGTTTGTCAAAGCTTTTAGTACTTTTGCTTAATTTGATCATTCTTTGTAAAACTATATTGCTTTTGCCTATGCTTCTTTAAGGAGAGAAACTTGATAAAGTGTGTATGTAGCGGATTGTGTATAACAAAAATTTTCATAAAACTTTGAGATACATTATAAATTGCATTAATTTATGCACGAATAAATTAATCAAATTAATTTATTTACCTAGCGAATGATTAAATCGATAACTTGAGTTCTTTAACCACGAACATTCCTCACTCTAAGCTTGTTTAGAATACCCGAATCTTCCTCATCAATTCTTTCAATCTACAGAGACGTGTGTGTGGGCACACCTGAAACAAAACGAGATTAGCAAATAAACACTCAAGTTTTCTACGAATATCAACACATGCACGACGTGAAATTTTAGAGAAAATTTTTCCTTTCCTCACTCTAAAAAATTCAGCCACTAAGCTAGGGAGAGTAAAAATTGTGTTCTCTAATTTTATGCAATCTCCTATTTATATGTAGTAGTCATACTCCCAGAAGAAGTCTAATCTTTATCTCTAAGATAAAACTTGATAATTATCTCACACTTCTAATTGATTTTGGAACAAAATCGACTCTCTCCCTTATCCTATATGACTGGCCACCACAGGTAGATTCTCTTTTTATCCTGCAATCTAATTTTGACTCAAATTCAAATTTCAATTTAAGTCAAACTTAATTTAATTTGAATTTCAATTGGATAACTTATCAAATAATTCAATTGGATAACTTAGAGAGCAAGCAACTGAATCCCAGAGGGATTCACAATGTGCTGGGCGAGTACACTATGTGGACACCTCCACGTGTGTGTTCCAAAATTCAAATTTAAATAATCACATTATTTAATTTATAATTAATCCTCAATTAATTATTCTTGAGCGTTTTAGAGTGCGTGGTGATGAAGGCGGAGGCGGAGGCGGTGGAGGAGCTGGTGAGGAGCAAGGCCATAAGGCTTGTGGACGAGCTTTTCTTAGAGTGCAAGCCTGATCATAAAGGAGGGACGGTAAGGAGGAGGGCTTATTGGGAGTGCTTGGCACTCTATGGACGCCTTAGGGATGAGGGTGTAGCTGTGCACCAATGGTGGGGTTGATATATCTATCTACATGTGTTTAAGTACACGATTTAGATCACTTGTTTAATTTTTAGTGTTTTAAATTATGTTTAATCAATTATATTATGACATGTCATTTAATTATTCAAACATCAAAGTAGGAAAATATCAGTTAAAAAGTTTGAAGTTTTTGAATGATATGTAATAATGTAGTTGGTAGACACCATTTGAGACAGAAAAAAAAAAAGATATGTGATCTGAAGTTTACGTGTGTATGAGCAAGTGAGAAGAGAGTTTGAAGAGTTAAAAGAGATTAATGTTTTTGGAGAGAAGAGAGATACTGTTATTGTTACTGCAAGCAAAAGTGTTTTAAATGTTAACTATAGTTTTTGGGTAATTTTATACGTGAATTGCCGTGAAAGAGAGATTGTTTGATTGGATATTATGTGGGGGGTATTGAGGGTGCAAATAAATTATGTAAGTAGTGAAAAAGATAAGATTTGAGACTAGAATATTGGAGGAAGGTTCATAATTGTAACATTCATGATTGAGAGTTGGGAGGGGCTGTGATCAACTTGTTACGTGTAGAAAATGTACTAATTTGATCCGTATTTATAATTTGTATTGGCGAATCATGATTTGAAACAATATTGCTGAATGAGACATTATTAAATTAAAATTTTGTATTCCTCAATATAATGTATGTTTATTAATATAGTGGTTTTGAGCTATGTTCTATTAATTTTATGGTTTTGAGTTCCATGCAAATTTTGAGTTGTATATTAGTGTATATTTATGTTTTAAGCGATTGAATAATTGTGGAGAGAGCAACAAGAACAGGAAGATACAGGTTTCTGAATTTTCAAATAGCTCTTAATAAATGGTCAGGGTAATGTCACAAATGATTTTTGAGGTTTATCCTCAATCTCACTTTAATCTCTGACTTTTAAAACGTCTCACACTTTGTCCCTAAGATATTTTTTTTTTCAGTCCTTCCATAATTTGAGTGTTAAATTTTAACGAATATTGTGAAAGTTAATAACCAAAATTGAAAAATTTTAAAGTTTAGGGACTAAAATAATACAAAAAACAAAAATTAATTTTCATAAAAACTATTTAAATTTTAAATGTTTCCAGTTTTAATCCTTAATTTACATAAATTCTATCAAATATTTAACACTTAACTAACATAAGGAAAGAAACTGTAATAGAGTAATCAGCAACGACATGCGGGACTTTTTAAAAATTAAGGATCAAAGTAAGATTAAAATAAACCTCAGAAACTATTAGTAGGGTTAACCAAAATGGCATTAATATGCACAACATCTTAGAACGATGTCTCAAATATTAATTGAAGCAGAGAGGATGGATTTCAAAAACAACTAATTTAAGAAACCATCGTCAAATTGATGAAAAATGGGATGCAAGTTTTGTCACGGACCGGCTTAACAATGCATATTCACATAGTACATAGATATTCTCACAGTCGCAAGCCTATGCATATCCTTTATGAAATGTCCATTTTTCGGTCGGTGTCACAAAAAGTGTTATAACACTAATTGTAACACTGATGACATATACGTATAAATAGATATATTTTTCTTTGATTTAGCAGCAGCAAATTATAAGTGCAGAAAAGTAATGCGAAAACATAAAAAACACAAGGAATTGATATCGCAGTTCAGTGCGCACACCTACATCTGCGGGACAACGCCCATACAGAAACAATCTACTAAGATAAAGAGATTACAAACACCAATCGGTCTTACACACTCAAAGACTCCCTCCTTGATGTTGTTGCCGCTGTGGAGAATCCTCTTAGTGGCCTTGTCCAGCGAGCACCACTCATCTTTGAAAACTTTCTCCCAAAAGCAATATGTTCTTCTCCCGAAGAACCACTTTTTGTTTTTCTTTTCACTCAACAAGCACCAAAGCAGCCTTTTACTGCAAAATATTTCATTCAAAAGCTCTCCCACATTCATGGCTACAAACCAAATATATACACTCTAAATTGGTCTATAGTCCCATCTATTCTTCCACTAAAATCACCCTAAATAAAGTAACCTCTCCTCTAAGGATTCTTTCCATACATAGAGCCCATCAATTAGCCACCAAAAGTCAAACCAATCAGCTCCATATTTGCTTCATGTACAGTACCTTCCAAATCATTCATCAATCAAGCCAAAAACCACTCCACGTACAAAGAATCTATATATATATATATATATATATATATATTATCACCAAGTAATAAACCAAGCTTGATACTCCACGTGATTAGCTTTCCTCCTTCATTAATTCATATTTATCAATTGTTCTAAATATAGAATCATGCAGTACTTTCCATGATTTCCATTAAGAAAAACATTCCATATTCGAAGCAATCAAGCAACTAAAATTGCCTCTAATCTTTTCCATAAACACAAGTTGCCAATTGTACCTGTTTTTGAATTTTTACAATCAATGCCAACTAAAGTCCTAACAATCTCCCCCTTTGGTATATTTTGGCAAAACTAACACAAGTTCTTATTAACAATAAAAAATTTTTAAACTAGAAAAATCAGAAAAGTACAATGTTCTCCCCCTTTTTGACAAAAATAAGTCAAAAAAATAAAAATAAAACTTCTAGAAACTGTTGTAGCAGAAAGTATTGCATACCTGATGGAACACTCTGTGCAACACTTTCCTGCAGATCACGGTCCAATTCATTGATTTTTGCAAATCGCTCCTCCTGAATCCTCTACGATTCTTACTCCTCCTGAATGTAACACTCTCTTAATCTTGCTATTTTCACCTGCTAAATGCTTGGACCAGCCACCATTACTACACACACAACTATTAGTACATGCTTCTAAAGAAATATAAGTCGTATGATACCTCAAATTAGATTTTCTTACCTACAAATGTCTAAGAAATTTTTCGTACACATCAATCTTCATTCTTGGTGTCCTTCTTGTGAATGCGGAATTTAATGGATTAATGATCATACCTTTTTTTAAAGCATTCAAGTATTTGTAACATCTAGGTCTAATATGGCCAGACAAATTATAATAGTGACATGTAAGAACAAACCTTCTTGACTTATGCTGAGGATGTGAAATAACAACTTTCTTACATGGGATAATTTGAGGCTTGGGAGCAGGTGACGCTTTAACAAACACAGGCTTTGACGTTGAACCTTCATCGATGTATCCAAGACCATGACTATCACAATATGCTTTTCCTATAGAGAGAATATGATTCAGTTTGGTGGTGCCGGAGTTCATCATCTTCAAATTTTTCTGAGTACTCTCTAGTTCAACCATTATTTTCTTCAACTTCTTTTCTTTTTCTGCAGCAAGGAATTCATAATTATCAGCAGCTCTCTTCAACACATCATTCTCTTTGACAAGATCATCGACGCGCTCCCGTAAAGACTTATTTATTTCACACACTTTAACTCATTTGTTGGACATGGTCTTATAGCTTCCTGTATGGCATCAACAGTCAACTCCTAGATTGTGCAGGAAATCTTATCATCTTCCAGGGCATTACATAGGTTGAAAGGTCAGAAATACAATGCATTATCATAAATTTATTATTAGAAAACTCAAAATCATAGCATTAGGTTTTTTTTTAAAATTTAATAAGTATTTCTAAATATAAAAAATAATTATGTATATTTAAGTTTCATTCCATGTTTATTTTGATCATTTTACATACTCACAGCAATTCAATCTCAAAATTTATCAAACGTTATTACACTGATTTTAAAACCAATACAGCTAGTATAATTTTAATTTACCAAATACTCAGTTGTTTCTTGCAACAGCTACTTCTTCCTTTAATACAATTAAAAGTAATAAAATTCACAACACCACCAAACTAAGTCATAATCCTGATCCGCCTTAACAACAAGTTTAGACACAAGATTTATACACCAGAAAAACACAACAAAACTAGTTGCAAAGTTCACGTGCAATTCCCAAGCGAGAATTGGCAACGTCGAACAAGATCCTGAGATTTTGTTGCTGCAAATTGGCGATCACATTCAACACCGAGTTAACGTTGCTCGGCGCCGCCGCCATCGCCAAGCAGGCCCGCGTCCCGGCGCTGCTGTGAATCAGGCTGTTCTCCATTGGCAGCTTCAAATCCAACCCCGTCAAGTGAAGCGTAATTGCGGGCGCCAACTCCTCATTGCTCTCCTCGAAACACGTGTCGAAAGCCCCCAGTGTTGAAAACGGGCCCTTCAGTTGTTTCCTATACTCATCCCGGATTGCCTCGTACACGGGTTGGACAAACCGGGTTATGACCGTGCCGGAGTCGATGATGGTTCCTGCGCCGGTGTTCGGGTTGAATGCTAGAAGCTCCGGGGCAATGGGTACGTGGACCCGGCCCACAGTGACTCCGGTTAGGTTTACGTAGTAGAGGGATGGGCGGTGCGGGTTAAGGAGGAGAGGGGTGGTACGGATATTCTTGGGCTGGCCCAGTGGGCCGAGCTTCAGCGACCCGGAGAAGTAGTAGGACTTGAAGCTAGGGAGGCAGTAGGAGAACACACCAGAGTAGAGGGAGTTGGACTGGGAGAGTAACGACAAGGGCCCGCGGCCCAAGCCCAACAAGCCTTGCGGTGGGACTGAGCTACCGGAGGCGGCATTGATGCACCCGAAGGCGAAATTGGGGATGATGTCGGTGGCGAGGCGGAGCGAGTCTTGGGCTAGGGTTGCGGAGAAGGAGGAATCTCCGCCGTATGATTGGTTGAAGAGGCATGGGGAGGCGGCGCCCGTGGTGGGGCAAGAAAGCCCGCGAACTTGGGTGCATTGGGCCACGGAGCAGTCCAATGGGCCGAAAGTGCTCGACAAGTTTGGGGAGAAGGTGGTGGAGGAGCAGCCGGTGCAGCCCGAGCATGGGGCCCACGCGGCGTCGTTGCTGGTGTCCAGGACCATGAAAAGGAGCTGGCCCGGGGTGCCAATCTTGGCCCGTACTACGTAGTTGCCAATGTGGAGCTGCTGGCCCGAAGCAATGGGGGCCGAGGTGGTCTTTTGGGCCGCCAGGCTAGACAGATATTTGAGCCGTTGTGGGTCTTTTGAGGCCATGTTGATGACCGTGTTGACCATTGAGTCAGCCTTTGGTGGCTTGAAAGGAGAGCATTTGCTATAGATGGGAATGACCGAGAGATCTGAGCCGTCCGATTGGGATACACAAGGATCAAAAGCCCTGTTTCTAGAGATAAAAGAAGCAAAGAAGAAGAAGAATGTAGTGAGTTTCAAGTACTTCATCATGGTGATTAGTGTCTACTACAATATGGCTTTGTGCATGGTTGAAGGGAAGGAGGGGACATTTATAAACGAAGAGAAATAGAGTTATGGGCGATTGTAATTACAGAAATACCCTTTTAATTATTGGTGCATGTTGATTGACCAATCCAAGTGAGGTATATTTTCATGTCTATTTTAGGGTGTATTAATAAAGGTGATTAAGAAGGGATAGCATTGGCACCATTATCTTTAAAAATAAAAAATAAAATAAAATAAAATAAAAAACATTAGCACCATTATAGGCATGTGATATTGTACCATAAATACAGAAATGGCCCAAGTTGGAGGGATTATATTATGGTTAAATGACAAAGCTCTAGGCTTCTTTTCTGCCATGATCACTGGGAGCTAAAAACAAGTTATGAGATTTAAAATTTCAAACTTTTAGTCTTCCAAACAGCGAAGAAGCTCTAATGCTCCAAAATCACAGTACTAATAGATAATTGCCATTCTAGTCGTTTTCTATGGCAGTTTCTTATTATTCTTTCAGTTTCATACGACGTTCTACTGCTTTCACTGAATGGGGCAACAATATTAACCATTTCTTGGGAGTTTCAAGTTTAGCTAAGACAGTGTCATGGCTGAAATTTCCGAATAATTCAATGGTAATTTTGGTGGCAATGAGGTGGATAAGAACTAAAGAATAAGATGTATAATTTGGACAATACTGAATGGTTTGTCCTTTAGTGGGCCGACCACGAGATCCTGTCGGTCACGGGCTTACACGTTGTCAGGGCCCACCTTTACTCATCCGTGACCCTGAATGAGATGCGCCCCCGGATCAAAACTCTCTCTGCTTAAAAAAAATACACAATTTTAGTTAAACTAAGCAATAAAAAAATAATAATAAAGATCTGCATCACTTAATACTCAATTATAGTAATTCTAATATTCTCTCAAAACTTCATGTCTGACTACTAGTATATGAATTGAATGGCATTTGAAATCTTGCTTGTTAGTGTATTAACTTTTTTTTTTTTTTTTTCAGATGATATACAGCGTGCATAATAATGCATTCACTAGCAAGACGCGAAATGTGATAAACAAAAGTAATTTGACGGCCACTCTACGTCCTAAATGCGAGATTTTTTCTCTAGCTTATAGAATTTGTGATAGGTATGGCTCGTTTTCTTTTTCTTTTTTTTTTTTTCAAATAGAAAGTTTGAATAAGAATTCAAAATTTTATGAGAGAATATATTATCGTTTAAACTGTGAATCAAATAGAGTGTTAGTTCTTAGTGTTTGTGTGTGCAGTTTTAAGTGCTGTAAAATTTGACATATTTGTCGTGTTTAGAATTGTTCTTATTTTTATTTTTCACGTTTTCGAGAAAGAAAAAATGAAAACGATTCCAAAACGGCGTTTAGCACAATTAAAGATAAAAAACAAAAATGAAAATGATTTTTAGTTTAGTGTAAAATGGGAGAGAAATAAAAAATGACTTTTAATCGTTTTTCATTTTTTATTTTTGTTTTCTCTTGTCTCGAGCAGAGATAGTGACGTTAATGAGTTTTTTTATACTGAAAATAATCTATTGATAAAACTACTAAACACATTTTCAAAAATAATTTTTGTCTGAGATTGAAAACGTTTTCATTTCTATTTTTATATAAAAAACAAAGGGTGAGTTTGAAACTCGTTCTAAAATATTTTTTTTTTGTATGAAAATGGAAATAAAAATGTTTTCAATCTCAGACAGAAATCATTTTTAAGAATGTGTTTAGTAGTTTTATTAAGATATTATTTTCAGTATAAAAAAATCCATTTAATGTCTCTTTCTGTGGTCGAGAGATGCGAAAATGAAAATAAAAAATAAAAAATAACTATAAAATTATTTTTTATTTCTCTTCCATTTATACTAAATCAAAAAATTATATTTATATTTATTTTTTATCTTTAATTATGTTAAACTTCATTTTTCTCTCCATTTTTATTTTTTCTCAAAAAAACGTGAAAAATAAAAACAAAATTAACTCCAACCCTGACTAAAATTATTTAAAACGAATTTCAAACGCACTTATTAATTTGTGTTTTCACGTGTTATGGTTCAGCGCCAAGTATTATTTTATATGCCAAAAACCAGCTGCTTTGTATTTTGCTTCTATTTTCCCGAGAAACCCGGTGGATGACAGCGAGAATTTCTAAACTCTTAACTAAAATGAAAGAGGCATAAAAGTCATGTGAATCCAAAGAATTCTGAATATGCCACTTGCGTTATGAGAAAGGACGAGAATTCAGATAAAAATGACAACAAAAAAGAACACACTTCTGAGGAGCTAGCTTGTCAATGATTTTAGAAGAGTGCCCACCGTGCTCACGGGACTTCAAAATTGTTTGATTGATTTGTCATGGAAAAGCCACTTTTCCGATGCAGCAAACTGAGCACAAGAACCAAGGAAACAGTTCTACTCCACTCATTATTGATGAACCGATTATCTCTTCTCTCTCTCTCTTTTTTTTTTTTTTTTTTTAACTTTCCTTTATTTTTAATTTGTGGGTGGGAAATTTAAGGCATGTTCTTTTGTCTAAAAAATTTAAAAAAATATAACTTAAATTTTAATTTTATTTAAGTTCATGTTTTTTTAAGTTTTAATTTTATAAAATTTTACTTAATTTTATTTAAATTCTAACTTCAACTCAAGTTATAACTTAAATTCAACTTAAAAATTATACTCAAATTACACTCTAAAAAAATAACCCATTAATTTTTAGATGTAAAATTACTATTAGACTAATATTTTTGTCTATTTAGTGAAACCGACTTACACAATAGACAAAACCTATATGGTCATTTGTCGTTGATAATGATTAATAAGACGTTGCCTTTTATTTTTGTTGGTCTTCCTGACTCGTCCACAACTTTCTTGTTGAAAATTTTAGTATCCTCTTAAAAAAACGTCATACTACCTCATTCATTTTATTAGTTTAAATTTTTAATTTTAATTTTATTATAATTAAAAAATTTTATAAAAAATTATATTTAATTTTTTTATTATAGTTAAAAAAATTCATCAAAAATTACATATTAACTCGAGTTAAAAATTTAAATTGACAAACTGAATGAGACTTTAATTTATTATTGTTGTTACCTTTTAGATCGATGAAATACAACGAGGATGGGTAGGAATTCGACATAAAAGCTTACTCTTGAATTTAGTACTTATTTCTTTATTTCATGGGATAAACTAATAAAAACAAACAAACAAAGGGAAATCAGAGCAAAAACAAACACGGGGAAAAGTGGACTTATGAGTTATGACCAATCAAACCATAGTCATTGAGTTGTAACTATTTTATCATAGATTAAACGGCGGTTTGCTTCAGAAGGTAAATAACACAATAAACCGCATCAGCCAAGATAAGAGGAAAAGGGAAAAAGAAAAGAAAGAGCAGGAAAGACACCAGGTGGAAATTAACACAAGTATGGAAAGACAACATGAGTGAAGAAAGCAATTTGATTTTTCAAACAAATTAACAACTTCGGTAACCATCCAAAAGTTCAACAAATAAATAATTGCGTATAACCACAACTTTATTATTATTACATGGTACAACATCAATTTTACAACAACCAAAGAAAGTGTCTATACCCAAATATCCCAAAACTTCGCCTGAAGAATAATATGGCAATTGGCAAAAGGATGGCCAATTCAAACTTGCCAAGGAACAACCTTCCGAAGCAACAACTCTATGATCAACGAACAACAAAACTCGTCACACATTTCAATCCACTCCATATGGACTACGCACCAAAGGCATTCTACAGCACAAGATTCGCGCAAAAATGAGTGATTAACTGTTGTGTATATTTGCTGTATATATGCATGTATGCATGGATAGTTTCCTGTATATTTGTGCATGTCCCTAACGTAATTGTGCATGACATAAAGCTGGGTGATAAATAGAAGACAATCACTTATATTGCAATGTAGCTATTGCGTCCTCATCTCCTTCATAAACAGCAAAGTAAGAAGAAGAAAAAAATAAAAGTAGCTTCAGTGCAATACAATAGAGGTGTCAACCTGACTCACTCACACAAATTGCCGCCCCAACACAACCTGCTGACACTTTGACATATTTATCATTATCATGATTACTATAATTACAATGTATCATTTTTTGTGTCAGATATATATATTTGTTTGGTATAAAGATTTGAAAAAATAATACCCGTATTAGTTAAATAAATTATATGGTTAAGTTAGCTCTAATTAGTAGTCGTTTGATATTAGTAATAAATAATTTTATCAAACTTTACTAATTAGGTTAATTGGGTCATAAATTGACTTTTTTTGGTCAACCTGTCAAGAAGCAACCAAATGAGCCAAGCGGACCTACCAAAGATGACATGGCCACCATGAATGCTACCTCTGTAACCTTCAACCACCTTTGCGGTCAAGCCAAGTAGGTTATTCGGTCACAAACCAAACTGACTCTTGCGTGGCACCATATTGGCGAGCAAAGTCCGTTTGATTGGAGGATTCGTTCTCTGATTCGAATCATGATTCATGGTTCTCTACAGTATTTTCCCTCACAAAAAACACACGTAAATCAAAAATAGTTCTAATCCATGAACCAAACCGGCTCTAAGTGAGCGGAGGGATGATCCTCCACACGGGGTAATGGGGGGTCCCGCTTAGTGGAGCATAAGACACATGGCACGTGGCCCACGGTCTTCTTCTAGTCGTACACCTTGGTCCCCTAGTGTAGCGGGTCAGATCCAGTCATCACTAGATAATACTTAATAAATACTACACCAATTTACTTGTTGAGATATTTCTTTCCCTATCTAAATTTTGAGTCTGTTTAATTCGCTGATTTGAATTTTTAATTCGAGTTGAAATGTGACTTTATGTGAAAATTTTTTACTGTAATAAAAAAGTTAGATGTGATTACTGTAGCAAAACTCAAATTTTAAAATCGAATCGGTAAAATGAACGGGTTTACCTCTCCACTTGCTCCCTTTACCGATCAATACGTTGACTTCAGCATTGAAGTGAGTGCCCTAGGCAGACACCCATCGGTTTCCCCCTTACTCTGAGGTTATCTATTCTTCTTTTGCAGGCCAGCCCAGGCAGTCTCAATCTAACCACCTTGCGCAACCGCGCGTGGTGTTGTGCTACTTTCATCATACATCAATAGTGTCCATGTTCGCTTTTATAAATTGTCACCCCTTATTTTAACCTAAGATTTGAAAGGGATACGGTCATGCATATCGCCAAAGCCATCTTATTTGGGTACATGTACTTGGCTCCGGTGTGGAGCCGAGGAGCCTTAATGTACTAGTACTGAAAGTTCCAAAATTTTTTTTTTTGTTTTCCATTTCTTTTTATTCTTTTGGCCGAGGAAATGGGAGAATTAGTTGAGTGATCTTACATACGGCAACAAATGTAGAATGGTCACACATACTGCAAGCTCTATAACGAGTTTGCTAATGTCACCCAGCGTCCTGTAGGTGAAGCAGGAATACAATATCTACTACCATCTTAAAATTCAAAATTAATTAAGAGAAAATCACCAGTAAACCTCCATTGATTTGCATTTCCTCAAACAAAAATGTATCTATCTATCTGTATATGTACGAGGATAAACAAATTAAAATTTGTTTTGAAAGATAAAAATAAAAATAAATGTGTAATGTAGAAGAACTAATAAGTTTCAGTTCATAAATCCCAAGACGAGTAGTCGACAATGGAGAATTGGAGATATTGGAATGGCAAGTCTAGATAGTGATGGAAAAGAGCTAGTTAGCAAAAAGCAGATAACCGTTTTGGGTCTTTCTTTTTTTTTTTCCTTTCTTTCAATAAGGTAGTTAGCAAGATAAACTACATTCTGATGAAAAACTACATTCTGAAAGCAGGATAGGTTTGGGAAAATTTTAGGAATTGACATTAGTCAAGCCTAAGACTAAAAGAGAAAAAAAAAAAAATTTCAGAACTGGTGTATTTCTAGCTTTTTCCATGGCCAATTCTCCATGCCCTACCATAAAAATGACAAGTCAGAATCCCTCTATCTATTCAACACTCGCTTTTGAGTTCTGAGTTTTGACCCCAAAAAAATGGTGGCAGCAGAAATTATAAACATATCTTCTTTCATCTACTACCTAAATATACAAACCGCATCAAACAAAAGCATAACCCCAAATGGTTTCTTATAAGGAAAACAACAAATCCTTTTTTGGGAAAATTGACAAAACCATAAATTGTAAAGGACAAAAGGAAAGCACTTGGGTCAGTCACAAAGTAAAAATGCCACTGAAAACTTTGGGAACTTCCAAGGTGCATACCTTGTTTTTAAGCTATCAAGCAGTGTCTTTGGCTTTGACAATTACGACCGGGCACTGAGCATGATTGGTGCAATAGTTGCTTACACTTCCCAAGAACATCCTTAAAAACACACAAATACAGCATACGATTTGAGAATATCACAAACAAGCGATTCTTAAATGTTAATCTTATTTTTAGACCCTAAATTATAAGTCAATTTTTATTTTGGTACCTAATTATAAACGTCTGGATCTTCTAAATATATATATATATAAACGTCGGGATCCACAATCTATTAATTTGTCTCAAATTAATCTTTTCCTCCATCTAACTACTAAAATCTCTCGACAATTCAGTGAGACTACATTTTGCAATTTTACATGTTTGAGCATAATTCGTACCAAAATAGAAGTTGACCTATAGTTCAAAGATAAAATTCATTGTGCATTTCGAAACTCGTTCGAGTTAAGAACTTTTAATTGAATTCATATCGAAGAAAATATTGTAGCATAGTATAAAAAAAACTTAAAATGTAATTCGAACTAACGAAACGAACGGAGTTTAAAACTTGAGATTTCTATGCATGGCATAACATGTAGCAGTAAAGTAACCTTTTAATAGGACCAAAAGCACGGGACCCCATCACAAGTAAATCGGCATTCAACTTCTCAGCAACTTCACAAATCTTCTCCTTTGGATCCCCAATCACAACCTCCGTTTTCACCTTCACCTGATAATGATATTCAATAACACAGGAAGTAAAATCCTCCAAAATTTATCGATTGAAGAAAAAAACGAAATTTGAAAAATGAAGGATAAACATCTCTAACATTCTTTTCCGAGCAAATATTGAGAGCGTGCTCCAACACGGCCTCCGTGATCCGCCTCTGGTGCGCCTCGATCGCCGCCATTATCGCCGGAACCGCCACATCGCCTGAAAAATCAATTCAATTGCAGAGTAACAAAATTTCGCCCTAAATTGTAAATTCAATGAATTTGATACTCCGCGATATCGACGGAGACAGATAAGAGACTTAACTGGGCCCACAGAAGGGAATAGCGCCGGGATTGAGGCCGGCGGCGATAGATGGCGGGGATTGAACGTGGAGCACGACGAAGGAACCGCCGGAGGTGGAGTCGGGAGCAGGGGATTGGAGCTTGAGGTTGTCGAGGGCCCACCGAAGCGCATCCATGCTCGACTCGCTGCCATCGACGGCCACGATCACGCACCGCAGGCTTCCAGATGACATGATGGTTGACGTTTGACCCGAGCACCTACTTCGCTTTTTCTTTGACCCGCCAAGAGCGTATGAAAGTCTGTTGTTGGTTTTTGATGGAGTCTTGTAGAGTGTTTTACTTCAACTCTGATTTCTGACTTTCTCCCCGGAAGGAGATGGCTCTGTCAGTAGTGTGGCGCGCCAAAAACCGCTCGTGTGATAGAGCATTCATGGGCCACATTTTAGAAATGGGCTCACGTCAATGTTGGGCTTGGACTGTACAGTAAAGGCCTGCGGGCTGCGTGTTATAAGAGCATCCGAGAGGATTTGAGAAATTATAATACATAATTTTCAAACTAAATTAAGACTATTTGAAATATATAGCACTTTACTATGTCAATGATTCATTTACGACTGCTAAAAAATAACTTATGTGGTAACAAATTTTAAAAAATATTTATTTGTGTAGAAAAAAATCTTTTTATTAGTCGTAAAAAGAAAATTTATGTGAAAAAAAATCTTTTTACTAGTTGTAAATGAACCATTTATACGGTAAACTGCTATTTACTTCAAATAATTTTAAAATCTGTTATTTACTTCATTTAGTTTCATAATATGCTAGTTACTACATTCGCTCTATGGATTTTTACCCTTTACTCTTGATAAAATACCCTTTTGAATAATTAGTTATTTGATCAAAAAGAGTATTAATCAAGAGTAAAAAATAAAAATTTAAACTTATACACTCCAAGAGATATTTGTCTCCTTTTTACTTAGGGTGCGAATTTCTCTCTAATAGAATGAAGAGCATTGGATAGAGCATCTCCAATTTAAAGCAAACTCATTAGGCAAATAACAAATTTTAACATTTGAAAAAAAAATACTCTTTAAGAACATCCCGGTTACAATGCTAAATTTTAATATTTGAGCAATTTCTAATACAATGTTATTTTTTACGTTAAATTTGATAAATACTATACTATGATTTTCTTACCCCAAACATTAAAATGTGGCATTAACACAATAGTTTGGTATTGATTCCGTTTAGTTCGTTGATTCGAGTTTTTAATTCGAGTTGAGATGTGACTTTATGTAAGAGCTTTTTACTGTAGCAAAAAAGTTAGATGTGATTGTTTGTGAGAGTTTTTACTGTAGAAAAACTCGAATTCTAAACTCGAATCAACGAAATGAACGGGGGGCCTAAACTTCTCTCACTAAATTCCATCGAGTAATAGCTAACATCAAACTATTACCAAATTTTTTACTCATATTTGATTTTGCTCATTTCTAGACTTATAATCTTACCAAATTACCTTTAAAGTTTAGCTTTAATTTTTTAAATTACTTTATAAATATAATAAGGTTTTACATATATCACAAATTGATATCGGTTACTAAAATATGGACGAAAATACTCTCTCCATATTAGGTGAGCTCATTTAAATAGTAGAGTTAAAAATTTTAGATGATAATATAACACATTATATGACGTGCATGGGGCATTTCTGTTCAAAATTTCAGCAACAACTATCGTTTTGGGATTCAAGAAATAACTTCGGAAATTCAAATTTCGAAAGGTAACTTGTTAATTCACAACAATTTAAGTAATAAAAGTGTCAAAAACTCGAATTTAAATATGAGTCTACAAAAATTTGCATTATCACAAAGGTGATACTAAATCGGTTTATAAAGTTAGTGATTTCAGTATATCATAATATGGTACTCAAATTTAAATATGAGAGTATCTTTTAATCTTTCTTCTTATTGGCAACAACTAAGAGGACGTAACTTTTGTAAATAAACATTCTTAAATTGTAGCAGAAACCAAGAATCAAAGTGGGAAGATGAAAACAAAAAGGCATGTTAGCTCTATAGATTCACCGGAAAGTGAAACTTTCATTTACAAGGAATTGGCAAATTATGAGAGAGGTTGATACTTTTCTTGAACCTTCCAACAATTTTTTGCCATTTCTTAAAGCCTTTGGAAGCATTACTACAGCAAATTCTTTTCTTTTCCACTCTTGAGCATTCTCACTGCAAGCATGACGTACAAAGAAATCAAAGTTGCCATGTGCACTTTAATCTTTGGCTTGAAGATGTCAAAATTGGTCTCCTTAACCTCGATTTTATGATTTTGCTATTGCAATTAGAAATAGAAAACGCATCACATTACCTAACCCTCCTCCAATAGAACGAAAGTTAAGAACATTTTAGGGAGTTTCTACTAGTGGCATTTAGTTAGGTACTTAATCAATTATATAAGGTGAATTATATACATATATATATATATATTTGTAGATTTCTATTTATATGTATAATATTTATTTAAGTGTTTCACAAACAATCCTTTGGTTACTTCCATTATTGGAGCAAAGGGAATCTTTCTTGTCTCCTTTGTCTAGTCCTTTGTAAAGGGCAATGAAGACATTAAAGAGGGCTTTTGAAAAAATTTCATGTTAGGTAACCTCCACTACATCAAAACCTACTTTGAAAATTATGGACCACCACATGCTCATGATCTTCTCTGCATTCATGCATGGAATGCGTGTATCAAACAAGCTGAATGAATACGAATATTTAGATATGTAGTGGAAGATGACTATACTTCACATCCCAATTTTCAATCTCATACCATTCAAAGTTATGGATCCCACAAACATATTGACTGTGTTTAGAATTGATCCCGTTTTTATTTTCACGTTTTTCGAGAAAATAAAAATAAAAACGTTTTTTAAAACAACGTTTGGCGTAATAAAGACAAAAAACGTAAATGAAAATGGTGTATTGGTTTAGTGTAATTGAGAGAGAAATGAAAAATGACTTTTAGACGTTTTTCATTTTTTATTTTCATTTTTTCCTCTCTCGAGCAAAAAAAAAGTGAGAGAGATATTGATGAGTTTTTTTATACTGAAAATAATTTCTTGATAAAACTACTAAACGCATTTTCAAAAATAATTTCTATCTGAGATTAAAAACGTTTTAATTTTTATTTTTATATAAAAAATAAAATTATTTTGGAACGAGTTCCAAACACACCCATTAGTTGTTATATTGTCTCTAGATTGATCGATTGATTTATTTAATGAGTGGTATCCATCAAAATACCAAAACACGCATTTAGTTGTTTATAAAATAATAAATAAATAAAAAAACTCATTTAGTTGTGTACGTATATTCTCATATATAACTCGTAAGTCAAGAAGACTGACAAGTGGCATTTTTCTATTTGTTTAAAGAACTTATCTCTTTTAATAAGACGTTAAAATGTGGAAGAGGTTTGGAGGAGCTTTCGCTTTCTCTTGCCATTATTTTTCTGAACCTAGTATTCTCCACCTATAACCCTACATAGGAAGACAAATAAGACTATCCCATGGGCCATTAATAACATACTAAGATTCATATAAATAAAAAAATAAACCTTGTTCAACAAGTTGCTCATTTTAGAAGTTGCTGAACGTGCAACTGCCGCTGGAGAAAATGGAATTTGTACTGGTTTTTGCAAATGGAAGAAAACTTTCCCCACAACTTCACTTTCTTGCTTATCAAATGGTTTTAGCTCTATTACATTTTGTGGGGCCTAAAACTTATATTAAATAGCTCTGCCTTTGTTTGGTGGAATAAAGTAATAAAGATTAAGGTTAATACGTGGGGTTGGCTAACAAAATAAAAGCTAATTAACATTTTTAGGCATAATCTTAGGCTCTACCTATTCAGAAAGCTTCCCAAGTTTCCCATATACAGAAAGTGGGTAGTTTGTGGGATTAGTTGTTTAATCGAACCCAATAAAAAGTAACTCTGAAATAATGCATAATCCATCTATAAAAAGTTAAAAACGATCACCTATTCAATATTTTTTAAGTTCTTTATTCAATCATTACACGAATATTATCACGTTAATTTATTTATTTATGTAGAATTAGAAAGAACCTTATCGCATGTCAAAACTAGTTAAAAGATAGTTATTTATAGGACGTGACAAAAATACTAATTATCCGTATTTTTAATTATTTACTTGGTAATTTTAAAACTGCAATCTTTTGAGATAATTGAAGGTGAGCAATGTTCTTGACGGGAAAGTTAAATTTTTTACCCTTGGATTTTTCGTTTATTTTGAGTTGAACTATAAATTATCAATTGTCACACCTGAATAAAATAAAATCTGAGAGTACCAAGTTTCACATCATATCTTCATAAATGTCTATATCTTATTATCCCTCAAAGTTCAAAACACAAAAATTCGTATTCTAAAAAAAAAAAAAAAAATGAAAATTCTTTTTCAACAAAAAAAAAAAACGAAAATTCTTTGTTAGGTATTTAGACATCAAAAGTTAATTTTAGAATAATATGCAACACATGTTTATTTTTTTTCTTTCGGTTTTGTTTTTCTTTTTCGTTTTTTCCAAAATTTTACCGTAAAGTTTGAAAGGTGGAAAGAAAGGGAAAATCACCACGGGAAATTTACAAGAGCGTTGGAGAAATTGATCATGGCTGCTCTGAACTTTCCCTTTCACTTTCTAGAGAAGTTAGCAATAGTACTCTCTGCCGCCTTTGTCAAAGCCACACATTATTTGAAACTTAAAGCTTTTTTATTTTTTATTTTTTAAATTAAGTCCTAAAGCTTATGCTAAAGAGAAATATATTTCCAACTTTGACAAAACCGCACGCTCACTCATGAAACTATTTGCGTCATTAGCCATGCTTACTCTAATCCTACTCATCCTTTGAAGTTTGAACAAAACCAAGAAGTTAAACCAAAAAATATACAAGTACAACAACCGACCATGCAATGTTAATATGTTATTTCTCTCTCCCCTTTTTTATTTAAAAAAAAAAGTATTTAATTTTGTTTTACTCTCACATGGCGGCAGAAATTGCAAATTTTTAATTTGTGATGTGAGTACAAGTTTTTTGCATGCACATGTTTCTGAAAATTGAATGGTTTTTTTTTTTTTTTTTTTTTTTTTTTTTTTTTTTTTTTTTTTTTTTGTTGTTGTTGTTGGGTGGGGCAGTCTCTAGTTTGTTTTCTCATTCGTACCACTACCAAGTAAATGCCTTCTCAATATCACCAAAAGCTACCAACCATTTTTTTTTTTTGAGATTTAATGGCCATGTTTGAAATTGATCTCGTTTTTATTTTTTATATTTTTTTAGAAAGAAAAAATAAAAATTTGGCGTAATAAAAAAAATAAAAATGAAAATGATTTTTTAATTTAGTGTAAAATGAGAGAAAAATGAAAAACGACTTTTAGTCATTTTTCATTTTTTTTTTCGTTTTCTCCTCTCTCGAGCATAGAGAGAGAGACATTAATAGGTTTTTTTTGTACTAAAAATAATCTCTTGATAAAACTATCAAACGCATTTTCAAAATTAATTTCTGTCTGAGATTAAAAAACCTTTTCATTTTTATTTTTATATAAAAAATAAAATTATTTTAAAACGAGTTCCAAACGCGCTCAATAACTACCATCACTAATCAGATAGCAATTATACTACACTAATCATGATTCACGGCTCATGAGTAACTATCATCACACAACTGATCATTTGTTTTATTATATACTGTTATGGTTAATAATTCAATTAAAAACTAACAATACTTATTACCATAATAAATAACTTATTATTCACAATTTAAATATTTGCAGGTTTAGTCTAGCTATAATTAGACATCTGATTACCTATAGAGTTCAAATTTATCGCCTTTAAATTGAGAAAAAATTCAAAAAAAAAGAATCAAATAAAACTTTAAAATTAAAAAAAAAAAAACCTAAAAAATTAAATGGATTTCACACAAATGACCTAAATCTTATAGCTGTATACCAAGGAAGGAAATAAGTTGTGTACTAGTTGATTCCAAATGACGAATCCTGGTACGAAAAAATGCAGCCTTCAATGCAAGGACAAATAGCAAGTAAAGCATCATCATCTGAGAATCAAACCTTCACCAACCAATCTGCACCGTCCGATCCCCATATCCATCCAATCCCAACCCTCCCCCACCCTCACATGCGTCACCAGGCAACCGTCCAATCCCCGCATCTTTCCCTTCCCACAACAAGACAAACCACCGTCACAGAAAACACAATATTACGATTTTACCCCTCAAAAAACCAAACCCGGTTCGAACCGAATATTTTATGAACGAAGAATTAACGCTTTCCGATGTAAAAAATTCCTTCCCCGACCATTCCTTTTACTTTTTATTTATTTATAATTTTTATAAATGCAGTTATCCCGAATTTATTATTTTTTGCCACATATTTTTCTCTCTTCAATGAAATGCATGTAAATCTATTTATTTTTTCCGTCTTTTGCCCGAATTCCACACAAAGCTCGAAATCGAAGAAAAACCGTTCACGAGTTCACACAAACTCTCGGCACTCTCTCTCTCACCTGAAATCTCCTTTTTCGCTGCTCAATTTTGTTTTTAATTGGAAACTCGTTTTGAGAAGTTTCCCGATGAGCTACCGATCGCCGACGGCTCCGATTCGGTGCTGATCTTCCCTCGGCGGTGGCCTGCATGCGGAATCTCTGGCACCGGCGACGACGGGAAGCGTAATTGGAGAATATCTATGGTTTTTGGCGGGATTAGGAGCCTAGGGTTTGTGAATTTTGCTGGATGCGTGTTAGGTGCGGGATAAATGCTTGTTGCCGGGGTTCTAGGGTTTCAGAGCCTGGTCCTGGTGGTTTGCCTGGTGGTTCCGCTGATCGGATTCGTCGTACGGCGGAAATGGAGGCTCGCTTTAGCTAGGAAGGAAGAGATTAGGAGGCTTTTGATTTTGGCGTCCGAGGAAGCCGCTAGGGCCGAGCTCGAGGCGTCCGCCCAATACGGCGTTGTTGCGGCGGTTGCTCAGAACCAGTGCGCCGTTTGTTATTTCCCCACTACCACACGTTGCGCGCGATGCAAAGCGGTTCGTTACTGGTATGTTTTTTGTTTTTTGTTTTTTTTTTCGTTTTATTGGTAAATTTCATGTCTTGGTTATGCAATTGTGCGATTTTTTGTGTCCTTTATTATTCAGTTACCTAGGATTAGGTTTCCGGTTGGGGCATTTCTCGTGTCGAGAGAATAATTTTGATATCCTTAATGTTGAATTTCAAGCAAAATTTTGGGGAAAGTTTAATAAGGGAGCTGATATTTGGATTTGATTAAGAGGATTCTTAAATGAATGATTGCAAATCGTCTTTTGTGATTGAGCTGAATCTTGGTTTTAGACTATAATTATCTCCCGTTCAAATTGGGAAAGGGAATGGAATGTATGACCAAGATATTCAGTCTGGCTTGCATAAGGTGAAAATGTTGGCTAGGCAGAGTGAAAATAGAAGACAATAGTTTTACTTCTATGAAAATGCAACACTTGATGAAGGATGGTCACATTCTAGAGAACTTCTCATGATTTAGTCATTATATCCTTTAGAGTAGAAGGACAATAAAGCTCTTTTTGAGTTTGGGTTTATGGGTCCTTACTGATAGACGATGCGTCTTTCTTATTTTATTTCTGAGGTTTAATACATAAGTATGTACACATATAAATTTTAGTGTTGAGATGTTAACGTCAAATTTGAATGTTCTAGTTCTGGCAAGTGTCAAATTATGCACTGGAGACAAGGACACAAGGAGGAATGTCGTCCTGCTTGCCCAACTCAGACCGTTAATGACATAGGAAAGGATTCTAGCCAAAAGTTGAACAAAGAAGAGCACTCTGAAGTTTATAGTGAGAATTATGAAAGCATTGAACGAGCTAAACCAGTTCAAGCATTCCCTTCAAAATCTGCACACACAAATAATGGTTGCTCTGCTGAAGTGCTATATGAGAAGGAAGAGGGTAGTGAGGTTGAGTCTATTGCAAGTGGGAAAGGGGTAAGTTCTACTTTTGAATCAGGCTCTACATCGTTTTCTGGGTTTTCTACTTCAACCACCAATAGTGATTTGGCTGATGATGTTTCTGTCACTGAGAGCATTAGTTCAGCTGATACAGAGAGTTCAGATGGACATTTATCTGTTGATAGTTCTTCTGACGAACTTCATACCACTCTTCATGTGAGAAATGAAGATAATTCTCAGCCATTATCTCCAAAGTTTGCTAGATTGGTTGACGCTGTAAATGGTATTACTGTAAGTAAGTTAAATGAAACTGAATCTAGTTGCAATGGAGGAGAAGATCGTTGTCGACTGACTTGCTCTTCACATCCTAGTAATAGTAGTGTACATGATGGTCCAGCTCAGCCTCTTGCAGCTTCTTCTGGATTTTGGGAGAAAGCTCTAGATTCTATTAGCCCCCCAGATGATACCCATCATGATGACACATCTGATTCCAGTGGACTCGGTAGCAGCAAGGTATCAGGTGGAACTTCCCTTCACTTTTCATTTAAATTGTCAAGACGTACTGCTCCTCCCTTGTTCACTAAGGGCTCTTCAGAGAACGTTGCTCTATCAAAGGATGCTCTTACAGACGAGTTGCGTGTTAAGAAGCATACTAGTGGATCATCTTTATCTAAAAGTATAGATTCTAATGCACCAAAAACCAGGGCCTGCCGATCCTTGAATCGTGAAGCATCCAAGAATTTGGACAATGGATGTGAAAGTTTTTCAAATGACTTTAATTCAAGGGAAGCCAAGTCAATGCTTAAAGAAGGAGCTTCAAAATGTGCAGATTCATCAAATGTTGGTATCGCGCCATCCACAAGAGCTCAAAAGTTGGACTTGGATCATGTTGTTAGTAACAACAAAACTTCAAATCCTATGAAGTCTGAGGATGATGGATATTTATTATCCAGTACTCATTTAGCTTCTGGCACGAAGGACTCTTCCATTAAAAGGTCCAAAGCCGGAGATGATGCTGGTCAGGATAGTGCTACTGTTTCAGGTCAGGTTTCAAATTATCCAAATGTCAGGAACGGATTAAAAACCTCTGTACAAAAAGTTGTTGAGCAGTTCAGAGGATCCAATTCCAAACTAACAAAACAATATCCGTTAGCGCATGGAAGTGAGATTGCTGGACGATACACTGACAAGGTTTTGCTTCTATTTTCTTTTTGGATTTATATCTGTAACAACATATACCAAACAATAACAATATAGTCGATTATCTTTTCTGCCTTTGCAGGGGCTTTTTCCTTACGACTCATTTGTCAAGCTATACAATTGGAACAAGGTGGAGCTTCAACCATCTGGCCTTATAAATTGTGGGAACAGGTAATATTTATTAGTACCAATTAGATGGGAACCTGACATTATATGGCGCTTAGTCTTGGTTACTTGAATTATTCTAGGGAGTTCTTGTTGAAGTTTTGTGGGTATAACGGTTAAATTTGCCTTCTCATGCTATTAGATAATAGATAAGCTAACATTTTAGTTTATTTTCTGGATTTGTATATCCTACTTCGACTCCTTTCACCATAGCAGTCTTACTCCCATGTTCATTTCTTCGTTCCAATCTGATCTATTAGTCTTCTGCACATATGTGGTGAATGGACCTAAGAAGATTATTGCATGGCGGTTGAGTTTACTTATATTGCTGTTTGAGGATACTCTTTAAGTTGTATCATTTGCGTATCTGACAATGTGATGTACATGATAGATCTCTTTCAATTATCATCACCTGCACATAGAATTTTCCTGGTACATTAGAGTACTTAGTTTTTGCACTTTCAAGCGACTAAAATCACTGTATTTGTTGTTTGTAATTTATTTATACCCATTTATGAATGGAATTTCGAGCATTTTTTTAGTAGTATCTGTTTAAGTGAACATCAAAAGATTGGTTTGCAACTTGCGTGGTGTATTGTTCTCACCCTAATTGGCATCCCATCTGTATGCATTTTGTCATGCAAATTTTTCCTTTTTGTACTGTGTAAATACGCTTTTTAATGTATCAACTATCAAGCTTCAGGCATATACATACCTTCAGTGTTTCTGGAAGAAGATTAAAAGTTCATTATTTGTAGATTTAAAATTCAGTCATCTTTTCCTGGATTTCCTGTTTGGAATTTTCTTTTCTTTAACAAGTTGTTCTTCTGCTTCCAGTTGTTATGCCAATGCTGTACTCCAGTGCTTGGCATTTACGCCTCCATTGACTGCCTATTTCCTTCAAGGAATTCACTCAAAAGATTGTATGTCTCTATTCACATTTTCCCTTATCTAGGCATCTTTGTTTCTTTTGTGATATAAAGTTCCTTTCTTCTTCGTTTCAGGTATAAAGAAAGAATGGTGTTTCACATGTGAATTTGAAGGTTTAATTTTGAAGGCAAAGGAAAAGAAATCTCCATTGTCTCCTATTGGAATAGTGTCCCGACTCCAGAACATTGGAAGTCAACTTGGTAATGGGAGGGAAGAAGATGCACATGAGTTTCTAAGGTAAAGTACCCGCTTACTTTGGCATCTGCATACAAAATGTAGAAGCCAAGATTCTATTATTCTTCTTTCCATTTTTTTTTTATTGTTCAGTCTAATTAATGAGTGCACTGACAGGTATGCTATTGACGCGATGCAATCTATTTGCCTGGCGGAAGCCAGGGTTGGTGCATCAGGTCATTTGGAGGAAGAGACAACTTTGCTAGGCCTTACTTTTGGAGGCTACCTCCGTTCAAAGGTAATAGAGGTGTCTACATGGGCGGCCCAGTTTGGCCCATCCCTATCCCTTCTACTATATAACTTTAAGGTTGGGCATGGACCCCAGGCCCAAGTCCATAGTGCTTGGCCCTCAGGGGCCTATCCTAGACACTTAATTATCTTTAACTATTTTTTTTTTCAGCGTGTTCTGGAAAATTTTGAAATCTACCGAGTGACATCATTTGATTATGAATTGGATCATGTTGTTTGTAGATAAAATGCATGAAGTGCCAAGGCAGGTCTGAGAGGCAGGAAGGTATGCTGGACCTGACTGTTGAAATTGAAGGGGATATAGGGAGCCTGGAAGAAGCCCTTCGAAAATTTACAAGCACTGAGATCTTGGACGGTGAAAACAAGTACCACTGTGGCAGGTTAGTTGGGTTATTTTATAGCATACCTATTCTGTTTATTTATTCAGTGTTTTTGTTACCATATGTGGCAGGTTAAGAAAGTTCAGACCTTTTTATACCTCCCCAAAAAAAGTACAACTTGGTTTTTTTATTTTTTTTATTCCCTGTAATATAGTTGTGGAAATTTGAAAGAGATTGACGATATATTTTGTTATCATTATGATATATGGTCACTTTATTGATTGACTATTTTAATCAGATGCAAATCTTATGAGAAGGCCAAAAAGAAGTTGACAATACTGGAGGCACCCAATGTCCTCACGATTGCTTTAAAGCGATTTCAGGTAATCCATTCATTTTAAAATGACCATCCACTGTCTGATTTCAGGTAGTCCATTCATTTAAATTGACCATCCACTCTCTGCTTTTAGGTTCTTACGTTCTTATTTCTTTGCTGCAGTCGGGAAAATTCGGAAAGCTTAATAAGCCAATTCGGTTTCCAGAGATCCTGAACTTGGCACCATTTATGAGTGGCACAAGTGACAAATTGGCCATTTACAGGCTTTATGGGGTGGTCGTTCACTTGGATGTTATGAATGCTGCATTTTCTGGTCACTACGTGTGCTATGTTAAAAATGCTCACAACAAGTGGTTCAAGATTGATGATAGCACAGTATGTTCTCAGAAACCATGGTTCACCCCTCTTAGATTTCCCAATTTTACTTGAGTTGAGAATAATATCAAAAACTCATCAAGCTAAATCTCTTGAGAGCGAGCGTGATAAATTTGGTTGGTCTATTAGAATCATGATTTATTATGCTTCCAAAAGCTAGTTGTAAATCCATGTGCAGGCAAAATGTGCAATTGGGGACTTTAGCTAATGCCTAATTCTTTTCCGGAGCTACTAAAGCTATTTCCAGTGTTTAGCTCCTTTGACTAGTGTGGTCTATGCATCTTACAGCCAACAAAGTTATATTACCAATTCATCTTTTCTAACCATTATCTTGGCTTTGGTTGGGTAGGTAACGCCTGTGGACCTTGAGAAGGTGTTGAGCAAAGGAGCATACATGCTGTTTTATGCGAGGTGAGATATCTTTCGAATTTAAAAATGTTTTGACATTTGTATATTTTTTTCTTTTACTGTGACCAACAGTCTAATTTAACTGATTTACAGGTGCTCACCAAGGGCCCCGAGATTGATAAGGAATCGAATAGTATCTTCTGATCCCAAAGCTAGAGTGACACCTTCCTGGATTGGTGGTGGAAAGACCACTGCATTGAAATCAAAATCCACCACAAATCCTAATGTTGCCCAGTTCTTATCCAGTTCAAGTCCTCCAGGTGTTTCTGCCAGTTACGATTCATTTTATGCAAGATACCATCGGTTGCAGAGGATTTTAGAAGAGGATTCATCGAGCGACAACTCTTCCCTTATCAGCAACAACTCTGATGAAGGTTCTTGCAGTACGGATAGTACCCGTGACTCTACCAGCACAGACGACTTGTCGGATTACATTTTTGGTGATTCCGGACGAGTTTGGAGTAGCCCTGTGGAGGAACTCTTGTGATACTGGCACTTCTTCATCGTCCTCTTCCCCTCACTCGTATTCAAAAGAATTTGCATCTTTCTGATATGGACCAGTACGATTCAGTTGCTCCCGTAACCAGTGGGCTTAAAACTGATTGTGCAGCTACCGAGGACGGTGGTCTTTGGGACGGGCCAAGTAGCAGGAGTAGCAAGCGGGTGAATTTTCGAGGCGAAGAAACTAATCCCTTTTTGCATTCTGACACCACTAAGCAACGTAGAAAGTTAGCTAGCAGAGAAGTAGTAGTAATAGTACCCTTAAGACTGACTTAGAGAGACTAGGATCTGACTCTTTAAACCCTGTAAAATATAATGTATTCACCAGGGAAAGAACAGTGAACATTTGATTATAATATTTAGGTACAGAGCGGTAAATAAGAAAATTTTGAGGGAATGTATGTAATTCACCCTTCTGCTGATTTCATTTATATAAATCAGCTTTCATTTTTTTTTCCCTAAATTCTTTCCTCTGAGTTATCTTTTATATTCAATTGTCTATTCTTTTTTACGAAACAATTAGGGCCCGTTTAGTTCGCTGATTCGAGTTTTTAATTCGAATTGAGATGTGATTTTATGTGAGAGTTTTTTACTGTAGCAAAAAAATTAGATGTGATTGTTTGTAAGAACTTTTTACTGTAGTAAAATTTAAATTTTAAATTTGAATCAGCGAAATGAAAGAGACCTAAAATTCTTAAGAAAGAGGCCATCTCACGGGACAAATACTGCTGAAAAGTGTACTAAAACTTAAAATGATGGATAAGCTTATTTACGGTACAAATACTTATTTATTTGTTTATTATGGACTATCGCCATTAAAATGAGCTTGTACTTTTGAAGCTGAAATTCATTCACAAGCTCGAGTAAAACTCACACTTCACATTGCAAGTGAATAATTGTTCTTTTGATCAAAACTCAAAAAAAATTTAAATTCAAATTATAATTTTTATTTAAGTTCATGTTCTTTCATAAAATTTGAATTTGAACTCGAGTTTTAATTTGAGTTTAGGGCTAAAATATGAGTTCAAGTTTCTCTTTCAACTCAAGTTCTTAAACTCAAACTCAAATTAATGAATAATATTTTTTCTATTCTTAAAAATATCATAATTTTTTTGTTTTAATTCTGACTGAGATGATTTTTTTTCTATGTGTTCACGACAAAGAGACGAATAAAACTCCATTCATATACCATATTAAAATTTTTCATCACCATTGAGTTTTTATTAAAATATTATTTAAATATAAATTTAAATTTTGACCCACCTAAAGACAAACTCAAATAGATTTTCAATTCAAATCATAACTCAAATGTGCACATCCAAACACAAATTCAAGTTACAACTTCAACTCAAGTGATAACTTAAATTCAACTTAAAATTTACACTCAAATTATCATAATTCAAAAATACAACCGAACAAGTCCTAAGTATCGCATACTTATCTTAAACAGGACCGTTGAATAAGGCCTATCCTTGGCTTTTCTTTTTTTCTTTTTTTTAGTAAAAGGAAAAGACGTCCATTGATGATAGAGCTCTTGCAACTTGGCCACTTTTCTTGACCAGTTTTTGTTTTAGTAAGAAATTGAATTATTCTCAATGCGGTACATGTATATATCCGAGTTATGTGTGAAGTATGAACACCGAACAGTTCTTGCCAATAGTACTTGTCAGGACCGAAAAGCAAAAGGTCTATTTGGGTTTCCTCTTCTTGCATATATGCTTTCTTCACAAGTGAACAAACACCCATAGCAAAATATACTGAAGAGTATAGATAGAGATATCAAAGACAAAATGGAAAAAGGAGAACCAAGTGGGACGTTAAAGATGAAAAAATTGCTCCAATCACTAGACAAAATGCTTACTCTATCAGCAATACAGGACAACTATCTCACATTCCCTATCATTTCGTTTCCTTCCTCTTTTTTTTTTTCTTTTTTTTTTATTCCCTTTTTCTTTTCTTTTTACAGGAAGACTTCTTTCGGCTTGAAATTCTTATCAGAAACCACTAGCTCATCAGCTGCCAAGCAACCAAGGGAGGGGGTTAAAAACTGAGGAACAATCCAGGCCGTACACGTGTACTTTCTCAATGATATCTTTCTTGCCTTTGACACTCTGATGCCTTGTACCCCAACCCTTCACTCATGTGGACCCATGTTGTCATTTTGAGATTGCCAATTTGATTGCGGATGACTCTGACTTTTTTGTCTGCCTCCAAAATTTCTCTGTCATGATTTTCAATTTTCATTTCCTGGCAGATGTGCATTCATATTTACTGGAGTTTTATTGGGTAGTGCAATGAATTCATTGGGCTTTTAAAATGAAGATAATTTGAAATAAATCAATAATGGACACCATGCCAATATTCTTAGGTCGACTCGTATTATTGTTAACCTAACGTATACATAACTAGTGGCTCTTGAAGTAGCAGTCATCCTTTTAATTCATATTATTAATGAATCTTTGGATAGTTGCATTGTTTCATAATTACAGAAAACAGTAATATTTTTCTCCTTCATAGAAAAATAATAATAAAAAAAACATTTGGTTCATTGGTTGTCTTTTTAAGGACTTAACAGGTATCTTAAATAACCTAAAAAAAGGGTATCTTAAACAGATAAATAGTAAACTGGCAGTGTTTTTATTTGACTATATATCTCATAAATCCTAAGTCTCTGTCAGTAGATCATCATTCTCTTGGAAAAAGACAACCTAAAACGCGTTCCTTTTTAAAAAAAAAAAAATAATAATAATAATGAATATGTCAACCTCCCAATAGCCAAATAGCCCATATTAATATTCATTAATCTATTTTTTTTTTAAATTCTTATTCAAGTTTAGTCCAGTCTGATATAATCGTGAAAGTCAGGACATATAGACTGATATTGAATATAAAAAACATATATACGGACATAATTCATTTTTTTTTTCTTATATCTTTTTGCTGCTACGGGCAGATATAAATCTTAATTGCTATGGTTCTGCATGCATGCATGTCTTGAAAATAATATTACATAGCATTTAGTGGTGCCCCAATATCCATCTCAATCTTACCAAACTTAGTTAATATCTCAATTTTTCCTTCTGTACTCTGCGACACTAGAATGGGCCCCAAATGTTCCCCATCAGCTAGTTGCTGCCAGATAAAGCGAACTTTCTAGTTCTTCCAAGCAAAATTATCACCCTTTTCGATCACAAATTAATTAAATCCAATATTACCGTCATTTTCCCTCTCTCTTTGACTGCATGCAAAAAAAAAAAAAAAAAAAAATGCTTCTTTTTGTATTATTAATATATAAATATAACATAACTTGGCTAGCTACTCATGCATGTGTCGTTAAAATAAACCATGCATGCCTGAAAATATAAGTCACTTTTTATAACTTGAACTGAATAAGTAAAAAAAAAAAAACAAAAAAGACTAAAATCATTTTAAAGTGTCATTATGACTAATTAGCAGCCGCAAATACACGTACAAAAACACAATCCCTTTTGTTGTGGAAGTGTCGAACAAAGCAGGAACAGACAAACATAAATTCATTATATATGTACACACTTTGTGGAATATATATGGGTTTCTTAAACTCTAGCTAATTTCATTATAAATACTCTCTTTTTTTTTTTAGCTTTTGTCGTTAGTGATTTCTTCTTTTCGGCTGATGAAAGAGAGAAACTTGAGTCTCCTGGTGTCCATGTTCATGCACTCAAGAAACCATTTTAATTAGCCACCTGATTTAAAGGGATCATATCGATCTGTAATTAATTGATTTCTGTCTTTGTTTTTTCTTCGTCACTATCCACTTCACTAATTAGATTAATTAGTCAAATATAATCATGTGGGATTAATGCCAATTTATTTATTCTTGTTATTTTTTATTTTGTTGTCTCTTCACTTAATAGTTTTTGCAGAAATCATCTAGCTAGCACTATAACGCGTTGTTGACTGGTTGCGAATAAGAACGGAAAAAAGAATATGTGTTAAATACTTGTGACTTTAACTCATGACAATGGAGAGAAACTCAGGCAAAATAACAGTAATAATTGGCTTTTGCTATAAAAAGTATAAAGTTTGTGGAATTTGTGGCATCAATAAATTAGTCACCTACCATTATATATATATGCTAGTTTAGGTCAGCAACTATGTGATTGAAAAGATAGGGTTTTATGCATGCAAATTCCGAATAATCTAACATCATCACAGAAAGAAGGAATAACGTCCGTGATGCTCCAAGCCTCCAACTTTTGTTTAGTGGTAAATTTCCAGGCAACTAATGATTTTCTCATAGATTAATGTTAATTACCTAGAAAAAGTGTACTATTTTAAGGGTGAAAACAGTTTCAAACTGTTTGATTTAGAATTTGTTTGATTTGAGAAACTGTCATGACATATGCATATATATCCATTAAATTTCTGGCATATTTGACCAAAAATTTGATAAGTAATTAATTATAAGTTTACATGAACGGGGATGTATAAATTGGTCAATCTGGACCGAGTACTTATACTGTATGTTCCAATATTTACGGCTAGGTGATCCCTAGAGCCAGAGGTTCCCTCATTTGTTGTATTTTATTCAATTTTCTTTAGTTTTTCTTTTACAAATATACTACTTTTTTTTATAAAAAAAAAAAAAAAAACTTGGAAGAAAAATTTAATTTAAAAGCTAGTTTTGTATGATCAACTTAAATCTCTCTACATCAAGAATTATTTGATTTACAAATTCAAACTGGCCTACTTATATATGATTTAATTTTTTTTTTGGTTTCGCTTAAATATATATAATTTTAAGCTCATTCAAACTGATGAAACCGACCATAACACCCCTTCTACATATATAGTTACATATAAGTTAATTCTTTGGGTTGGGATTAACATTATTCAAACAACAAAATTCTATGCTCAATTGGTTTTCTTTACACATGAGCTCAAAGTCAATCGGCAGTTTATTTTATTTTTTAAAAGGCCAAACGGCAGAAAAAAGAAAAGAATATTTATTATTGGATATGGTGGTCCAATAAAGCAACCGAACAAGTTATGGAATGGGGATATATAAGTAAGGGACAAGTGCGTGCTTCTTAACCATATATGGACAAGTTGTGTCCTGTGGGTATATCTTCTTTGGCATGTTTATAAGAGGCCATTACCCTTCGAGAAAGGACATGACCGTCCTTTACCAAAATCACGATCAATTAACCAAAAAAAAAAAAAAAGAGTACATCAACTTCATGATCACGTTTTCACGTGACCGTATAAAGATCTTCCACCGTACGTATGTATTGAAGAAAAATAAAATTTATATATACTATTTACTAATTGGATGTATACCTATAAATTTTAGTGGCTAACAATAAAAATGGACTGGATTGATGATAAAAATAATAATAAGGATTATTCTCACCGGTGTTTTTTAAAGTTTGGGGTGATTTTCAATTTGTTCTTTAAATTTAAAAAACTCACTTTTTT